TTCCAGAAAACCGGGTCTTAAAGGGCCCTCCGCCCAAATCCTTTTAGCCTTTTTGCCTACTCGAGGTCCTCTATCGAATGATGTATGAACGAACGAAATCAGAGCCGGACACCTGGGGCGGTTCCCTCGTTAGTGTTTTTAACTATTATACGGAAGTTATTTCTATTTCAAAATATGCTTTTATTTTTCAATATTTTTGTATGATAGTTTTTTTGTCTTGTTGGAAAGAAGTATACACATCAAATATCTTTCAACAGAATAGTATTCACTATACTTCTTTCTATCGTATATTATTTTTTCTATCGGAAAGTAGATATAAAATTAGTGCATACTAAATTAGAATAGATTTTATTCAATAATATAATAGAAGAAGAAATATTAATTCATAGTTCTTTGAAGGCACTACTAGATATTTCTTAAAATAACAGAAAAATATTTTTCTATTATTCTTACCTATCCATACGGTATGACACATGAGAAAAAACCAAAGAACATTTTTTCCATAACTTCAGTTTGTCGTTTTTGCATCATATATTTACTGTTTTTTATCCGTACACGTCATCATCCACTTATATAGAGGCGTATATGACTCATTCAACAGAATTAAAAATTATAAAAAAACTTTCGTCTGTTCTTTTTATAATGAAAACAAAAAAAAGAAATAAGTGATTCGCTAGCATAAATAAAGTAAAAATAAGACTGAATTAATCATTGTATACACAAATAAAGAGAAAAAGAAATAACATTGTATATATAAATGTACCTGCAGAGAACTATGAGCAGTGCAGAATCCATGATTTTTTTAGTCCCAGTCCTATAGTTCCAAACGAGTAAGCAAAACAAAAAAAAACTGAAAAAATAATCATTTTTTGAAAAAAATTTCACGAAAAAGTCTATGTATTTTAGTGGAATTCTTTCCAAAAAAAAGAGGTGTTTTTCGAAAATGTTTTTAAACAAACGGAGAAAATTGCTATAAAAAATTTAAAAAAACAATAACAACAAAATATTAACCTCGCGGGGAGCTAAAACGTTTTGTTTTACATTGTAAAGAATCTCGTAGAATTGGGACACTATCAGTAGTCATCAGTTTTGTCTAATATTAATATGTATGATTTTTTTATTAGATAGGTTTTAATAAAGAGGCTGAACTTTACAAACAATAGAACGAAAAACAGAAATAAAAAATGACATCGACAACGACACCGATGGCAAGATCGACACTGCGAAATAGCTATCGAAATGAACGAAACAAAAATGGACGACCAATAAGGTTAGTTAAGCCTTTACAAAGAAAACTTCAGCTGATCTTATATCATCAACATTATCAATCGCTAAGAATTATTTAACTCATGAATGTCCGAGTTTCTACACATCTCTTTAATCTGTTAGGGCGTCCCTAAGAATTAATTTTGTGTAATATTGGAAGAACTAGTGAATAATAACGATGGATTAATAATTAATTTTACTTGGTTTAGACGACAGTATAGTTGAGAGAAAGTTCACTATGTGATAAGATGTTGGTCTTCGAATTTTCAAGTTAGTTTCTCAACTACGGACTTTTGGATGTGGGAACTCGCTATACCCATGTTGAAGGCTGTCGAGGGTCACCTAGCTGTAACTTACAGCCTGTAAGTAACTTAATATCAGCGAGTTGTGTATGTTCTACTGTAGATCTGCCCTATCTGTCTGCTTTCAGGATACAAATACACATGTCTTCCGATATCAAAAGTTTACAGCTTTGTTCACTACCCTCTGAGTTGTTCTATAAGAACAATAGTAGAAGTACCTGCTGTGTATGTTATCTTATAATCAAGTAAATACACATGTGACCATCGAGACAGTGAATTTCTAGGTGAGACAAATGGGGGCAGGAGAACATTGCCCTTTGCCCTTTTCAGTGAAAAATATCTCAATTCCATTCAATTCACTTTGTTTTGATTATGATGTCAATTGTCTGAAAAACAGTTATAAGCAAAAAGAAATCTTTTAATGAGTGATTATTTACCAAAAAAAGAGAGAAAAAGATATATAAAAATGAAGAAAAAAAATAACGATCAGAAAACGTTTTACGTGTTCTTTTAGTAACTTTTTAAACATGTTTTTGTTCTCCGTGTGTGGCTAGAAGAGGGGGCAACGTATTCCATTGTTGATGAAAGAAAAGATGATGATGCTTTTGTTTCATAATTTTTAACTGCAATCTTGACATCATGTCTTAAATGCTGAGAGTGACGAGAGAGAACTGGTGAAATAAGATTATACGATGGGAAAATTGGAATAGTTTAAAATAATTTCTTCTTGATGCTTGAGGACCTAATTGCAAATTGTTCAAGAATGAGAGAAAAATCACCGGATTAATCTCTAGGTATGATTTGAAATGCAAAATGTTGGAAACTGTCACTGATAGAAACATGGGACTTGAAGGAGCTATCATATACGATACTACAATACTCGAAAATGCGACGAACTCAAACTTTGAAAAGACGTAAATGAAGAGAAGGAGAAGCTCGTTGAGAATCCATTGAACCTGACATATTTCGACATCTAGATACCGTCTACCCGTGTTCACGGTTTGTATTGATGTTTCAAGTTTTTCGTTCTATAAATGCCTCGGTTTTTTGGTCTTTTGGTCTTCAGTAAGACTGTCACCAATAAGACCAATACAATATTTTGATGAATGAATTGGACGTTGTTGAGTTTGTTTATTTGGACTTACAGACGTTTGAAGTTGTTGATGTAGACTTGTTTATATGGTACTAACAGCATATTGAGAAGAAGATAATGTTTGTGGGATATATGACGATATGTGTTGACAATTAGGGGAAGAATATAGTGTGTAATATTGATGGAGTGATGCGTACCCGTAGTCGTCAGACACGGATTGCGTAGACATGTATGGAGGAGGTAAAGCGCGATAAGCACGTGAATATAGGTCTTTTTTTTTTGACTTGAAAGTTTGGGAACGCGATGATTGGGTAAAGAAGTACGAAGGAGTGTATTGTGTAGTATACGTTGAGTTTTGTTTTTGTAAACAATCAATTTGGTCTGCTAATCTCTAGATTAGAATAGAATGTTGCTCGATTAAACGAAGTGGATGAAACTGAATTGTTATCTGAAGGTGATGATGACGAAGAAGAATTTGATGGTTGTTGTTGTTCAATAGCTGCTGTAAAAGCTCTAACTTCAGCAGTTGATTCAGTGACTTATTTGTGACATTCAGAAGGTTTTTTTCTAATATATCATCGAGCGACGTTTTTATGATAGAAGGTGATGATGGTACGTTCGATTGACAAGTGGACGATGATAATTGGAAGAGTAATTCTCGTTAGTTAACAAAAATTTGTTTATATGGAGACGGAAACGTTACAATTTTTTATGTCTGCAGGTGCTGCAGCGTATTTTTGTTTTTTTTCTTTTTTATAGTAGCTCGTTCTGAGAGATTAGGTGCAATGACTCTTGTCGATTCCAATCTATCAGAAGCACTATGTTTGTATTTTACTTCTTCTCAATAAAGTTTAAACTAACGTTACAATCTAAAATGATCGTGTGATGCAAGCTATTTAATGTAGTTAGAAAAGAGCAGAAAAAGCAGGTCTTTTCAGGATGATAAAAGAAGCATTTTTCTTCAAATTGGTAAAAGATGTGACCATAAGAATTACATTTTGATCCAACTAAATCGCGATTGCGAACAAGTTCAGCAGTAAATTGGAAAAGACCAAAAAGGCAGAAGAAAAAGAAAGGCGTTCTTTATGCTAGTTTAAACATTAGAATTTTTCAATGGCGAATTCTTTCCATATGATTTTGTAGAGAATTCAATGGGCTATCTTTTGGGAAAAGGCTCAAGTCCGAACTTTCAAAATTAACAGAGAAAAGCGCAAAATAAAAATAGTGCTATTCTTTATGGAACATCCATTACTTACCGTTTACACTCATTAATGATTGTTCTTATTCAATGAAGTCTTTTATCTCACCTACTACAGGCATTTCTTTAACACTTTTGTTTGACAAGACTATAATACAGAAGAGTATTCGAAAATAATGTTCAAACATACTTTTTTATCATTTGGATTAAACGTTTAGCGAGCGACTAGATCACATTCTCCAAATTTCAAATATGTTTTTCTCATGAAAGATTTATATAAAAAGACATATATAACTGTACAAGATCAACAGTCTTCATTAAACAGTTTAGTGTTATATATTAACAGTTCTCTGTAATTATTTCATGATATAAATGTTGTCAAGTAAATCTCACTTTCATTTATTATCATGTCATGGAGAAAATAAGTCACTATAATTACACCTCCCACTAGCCACTTTTCTTCTTCTCACAACAAGCGTTAAATCGTTGTTGTTTTTTAATCGTGATAAAATGTTAAACAAGTCTAATAAAGATGTATTTTATAGATTAAGTTGTTTCGTTTCTTCGTATTGAAGCTCATTTCACTTATTATATAAAATAGAAATGACTTTAATCTGATGTATTTCAAAATACATGCACGTACAACATACGATTTGTTCAAAAGATATACGGAAGGCAAGAAAGAGAAAACGTAGATTTTTTTTTGTGATAAAACTTTTCGTTTTAACTAATCATTTGTCATGTCCTTGGCCCAACCATACATTTTTGAACATAGTGACCGTCATCAGGTTAACTATAGATTAGTCTGATTAATCAAATATGTAGATCCTTCTTATCAGTTCTCTAACTAATCATGTCTACAGATAAATTTAGTTAAAGGTTTGAATTATAAGAGTCAAGTCTAGAATAAGTCTTGTTTGATTGATTCAATTCTCAGTCGATATTTTTCTTTTGTTTTAGTTTTCATTCAATCAATAGTATGAAAAGGATGTCTTATTCAGCTGAAGATCTTGATTCAAAATTCGTAACAGATGAATTTAATAATACTGCACCACTGACAATCATTTCCTTAAATCATTCACATACTTATAATAAAAAACAACATCAGCACCATTCGAAACTAAAACCAGTCATACCTCATCATAACCAAAATGATATTCCATCTTCGACATCTACAGAAAATGGAAATGAGACTCAAGAAGTGATCATTGTCTCAAAAGAAGTTACAACTGAATCTGACTTAAAACGCCAAGGTTCATTTCGTCCAGTCACCGTTAGTCAGCCATCATCATACTACGAAAATGTTAGATTAGATAAAGCACTCACACAAGAACAACAAACTTCAACGACCTGTAAGACTAATTTATCCGACGATGAGGAAGTAGGAGATAATGATGATGATGATGATGATGATACATCGAATTCAAGCAATATTTCGTGTGGAAACGACGATAACGAATTAGGTAAAAGATAATTGGATAGTTTCTTTGATATTAACCGAAATATCATCGATTATTTCGAGTAATCTTCTAAAGATTTCAGTTCTGAAGTACTAAAAACCTCCCATTATTAGAAAATTTTTATAATTGAGCAATATGTACCTGACTTGTGTATAATGGTGGTGAAAAACAAATCTTAATGCATTTTTTTCCTTCTTTTATTTAGATAGTAGTTTTACGGATGAAGATTCAATTAATACAACTACAAATCATTGTGTTCTTATTTATGGACGTGAACGTGCAGGCATTGGTCGACGTCTTTCACTTCCACATGCACTAAGTGCTACAGATGATTCTTTATCAGGAAATTCTCAGTTATCCTATCATACATGTCTAATATGTTATGAAGATAAACCTTTACGTCCACTTGCTCAATGTTGTCAATCACCAGTGTGCTCGGAATGTTTACAATTTTTCATCGAAATACGCGTTAATGAAGCGCAAATAAAAATTCCATGTCCAATAAAAGAGTGTACATATATAATGACAAGGGAAGAAATATTGAATTATTTAGATCAGAATCAAGAACTGAAAGAAAAATATAAACGATTCTATGCAGATATTAACAAGGAAATTAATATCAAAACATGGTACGTGCAAGGGAGAATTTAATAAAATAAATTTTGCCTTTTGTTACGAGGAAACACATGGTCATGTCTGACTCCGTTTTTAATGATTCATATCTCGATCGATAGAGTATATCGAGGTTGTAAAAAGCCTAAAAGGATTCGGACCCATGACTTTTTCTTCGAAAGTTATAGACGTTTTTCTAGTCTTCCCAACGAAAACTAGCAAAACTAGCAAAAATCATATCTCTGTCCAGAAGAGTAGCAGACAGCTGATAGTTTTATATGACAGACTAGTGGTAGTCTACTATATACACTGAAAGTTTTAGCCTTTCATTTCTTTCCGTTCACCAGTTCTAAAACTTTCTATTTTGAAGGAAAAATATTGTAGAAAGAATGCATAATATTTTCTTTTCTCTTGTGTTTAGTTCCTCTTATTACAGTCACATGGCTTGTTTACGAAGGAAAACACACGTGGCATAGAAAACTCTTTATTTTCCCCTACATACCAAGAAGTCTACTATATACACTGAAAGTTTTAGCCTTCCATTTCTTTCCCTTCACACGTCCTAAACCTTTCTATTTTG